TACGTCGGAAATTTCAAAGTTTTGTCGGAAATTTAGGAGGCTTTGCCCCCCCCCCCCCACACCGGAAAAAGTGAATTTCCGCCACTGATTATTGACTGTTGTAGCAATATTTATTGGAAAGTTTGTATTTCAGTCGTTGGTACTTGTTACGGAATGGCTATGTAAAGCTATATATATATAGTGTTAAACGTGGTTAAAAAATAAAAATATTTTGACTTTGTTTCTGATGACATTTGCCGACTCTCGACTTTTTACTCTCGATCGACTCTCGACTTTTTACTCTCGACTTTTTACTCCCGACTCTCGACTTTTACTCTCGACTCTCGACTTTTACTCTCGACTCTCGACCTTTACTCTCGACTCTCGACCCTCGACTTTTAGATACACTCTCCAGGTTTTAGCACATGCCGTAAATCTGATTGGTTTATGAGACAAAAGATTTTTTAATCTGTCATTTGATTGGTTGGTGCTAATTACATTATATATTGTCGTTGATATATTTATAGTGATCACAACTATAATTAGATTGTTGTTGTCGTTGTGTGAAATTTAAATTTCTCCTGCGACATTTTGATTGGATACTAAATATAAACTTTGCTGTGGGTGGAAAGCGATCGGATTAAGGATTGTGTAGGATAGAGCCTGATCGCAGGTTACTTTAACACCTGTTTCTGTCGTGGAGTCAGTTGCTCGCCAACAACATTTCCCATTGTTCGTAATGTTTATGCAACTCCCCCGCACGAAAGGAGTGAGGATTTCGGATCACCCAACTGGTCTCCACGAAATACTCGATTTAACTCTTCAATATGTGCGCTGGCGGTGATCCCCTCAACCTGTGGCCATGGTTGAGCTCCTTCCACAACCTGAGCATCAATCTCAAAATCATACTCCCATTCCCATGGTAAATTTCTAACGTGGGCCTAGACGAGGAGAACAAGTAAACCAGTAAATCAACCGGGGGAAGCTGAATGAAGGAACTTAGTTTTTAGGACTGTCACTCTCAATGAGGTGTTTTGTTACTTTGTTGATTGGTAGACGAAGAATACAAAGACAATGAACAAAGATAGCATTGTAATAATCGTATTAATCTCTTTATTCTATATACACATGTAATGAACGAAAAACACACATGAACTCAGATATATTCGAAAGGGATCACTACTACAACGATGTTCACACACATACATATTATCGTAAGGTATCAATCATACAGTCGGTTATTTATTGTCCTAGAGATTAAATAATTTGTATAGGAAATAATACGAGAATAATGAAGAGTTAACGAAAAATTGTAGGGTTGTTTGACAATATGTTCAAATTACCACGACTGCGTAGCACTGGTTTATAAATATATTAATGAAAGTACACAACCTATACCTGCAATATATTTACTACTCAAAAAGTAAGTAGGAGTGTTTTACGAGATTTAAAACACGAAGCTATAACCGAGTGTTTTATGCCTGCCTAGAACACGAACTGCTAGCTTGTGAACTGATTTGTAACAACTTGTTTGCAGACCAGTAACAGCCAATGCGTTTTTACGTGTGTAGAATTAAAAAAACCCTTTCGCGTCGTTTCACCTTTGCTAATTCTCAATATTGTCGTTCATGATACGCGAAGGAAAAGATCCTCGCTTGTCTTCTATTTAGTCTGGTGGAATTGACTAATAGTGTCTCTTGTATCTAGTGTGATAAATTATCCGTCCCATTCGTGAAATTGTCCGACGTAGAGAGGAAACTGAAGTTAACTAAGTGAAACTGAGGTTTATTGTTTTCCCGAACCGAGCGAATTGGTGTCCAGCCTAACTGTAACTTTGTCCAACGTACAGTAAATCAAAATGTACCCTAGTCCAGGACTAGATCTAGGATCGTTGGATTCTAAAGATAGAGCTCCGCACTTACGAACTCAAAATCAACCATGTCATGCCGCTGTGTCTCCGGTACACCCAAACTGGATATCACTATATTAAATCTCATAACTTTTAACGAAATTTTACCAAAAGTAAAATATTTTACCAAATCTGGTCACACACTGGTAATTTCCTAAATCATATAATTTCCTGTCAGTCACAAATTCAAAGTTTACTGTATATTGTATTTAAATTTCAACTTTAAATTTTTGTATTTAAATTTTGTATATTGTATTTAAATTTCAACTTTAAATTTGTTTTTTAACTTTAAATTTTTTGCACCTTTCATTAGGCTTACATATTATGTGTACTTATATATTTCACGTTGTAGATCCATTGTATTTCTATGCTAAAGATGGATACTGATTAAAAATTAAAAATTAAATCCGATCAATATTCTGACCAATCAAAATGTTCCGTCACAAAGCTGCTGGAGAACTAGGAATGTATAGCAATTTGGACAGGCAGTATTTTTTGCTTCCCGTTTTCACATGCCCGCTAATGCTGCCGGCGCCACGCAGGCTCTCGTGTAAGAAGAATGCTTCCACACAGGTTTGGCAGAAAACGCGTGGTTGGGCGGGGGTAAAAACACCAAAGACTCCGTTTTGTTTTTAGAAAACATTGAACAGTTCTAACTTAAATATAACTCTCCTTTTTTTGCGAATTAGAGGAACCAATCAGATAGTGTTCAAATGATTTGTTTTAAAAACGGGCGCATGGTAGACGGGGGAACGCTTTATACTGTAGGGGGCCATTTGATGGAGGTTATATTTATTTTACCAGTAGTGCTAACTCTTGTTTTAACTTTATTTTGTCAAGATATTGAAAAGGAAGAATATAGCCGTGCATATTCGCAAGCTCTCCAAGAAGGTGAAGAAAAAAATAATCGAATTCCGATTATGCTGGTCGGGCAAGGCCGAAGTGGAAAGACTTCGCTGATGAAACGTCTTTTAGGATTACCATTCGACAAAGATGAACTCAGTACCACTGGTATTGACGTTAATGGTATCGAGCTAACAGAACAAAATGCAGAAGATCCCTGGAAAAAGAGAGAAGTGAAGACGTTTATGACCAGTGAAAGTGAAGCAAAGACTGTGTTATACAAAAAAACGGCCGAGTACTTTGATAGAGGAGTTCAGAGGAATTTAGAAGGGGGCGCGCCAGAGCCATTGATGCCAGTGAAGCCATTGCCAGTGAAGCCATTGCCAGTGAAGTCATTGCCAGTGAGGCCATTGCCAGTGAAGCCATTGCCAGTGAAGCCATTGCCAGTAAAGCCATTATTAAGGGAAGAAATCTCCAAAATCAAATCGCACAGGTCCACTGAACACGACCAGAAAAAAGTTCTTCGGGTATTTGTAACTGACTTTGCTGGACAGTCAATCTATTACGATACCCATGCCTGCTTTATGAAACCGCATTGCCCTTATGTTTTGGTTCACGACCTTTCTCTAAAGTTTGATAAACTGGCCGTTCCCAGGTTTAAAGCAAGTAATGAAGAGGAAGAGGAAGAGATGAACAATCCTCATTTTAATACCAATTTAGATCATTTTACATCATGGTTGAAGTTTCTGCAAGGTTTAGGAGAATGCCAAGATCAACAGTTCCCCGATCAAACTGGTTACTGTACTACTGCAGACGGTCATAAGTTTAAACGGCCGCCAGTTTTAATAGCCTTAACTCACAGTGATAAGGTGAAAGGCAACGACCGCAAAATACGTAGCATACAGAAGAGAATCGAAAATGTCTTGTCTGCAAGTGAATGTAAGAATGTCATCCCTGGGGTTTTCCTGATCGACAACGCGTTGGAAGGCGACGTTGGAGACGACGTGCGAAAGTTTCGTAGAAAGCTTTTTGACATCTCGAATGCAGTCCTTAACCAGGAGACTTTAATGCCTGTGAAGTGGCTAGATTTTGAAGCTTCTCTAAGCCGGAAGCTATCACCAGATTGCAAGTATATCCCAGTTGACGAAGCTAAGCAGAAAGCGGAGGCCTGTGGCGTTGGGGAGTTTAATCAAGCTATCAAATTTCTACATCGCCAAGGTATGGTCGTACACCACAGTGGATCCAGCAAAGTTGTATTGGATCCTCACTGGCTAATGAATCGCTTTACAAAAGTGATCTCCATGCCTGGCAAATTGGATGCATTGTCCAGGCACGCTCTTGTTGTGTTCAAGCAGGAAGGCATTTTGTTTCGAGAATATCTTAAGACGCTGGAAGACGCAGAACTTTTAGAAGAGCTTATGCAAAAGTTTACTTTGATTTATCCTTTCCAGCACAAGGGAAAGGCAGCTTTTTATGTCCCTTCAGTTGCTCCAGCTATGAAACCAGGAAAAGAGTTGGAAGCTAGCAATGTTCCATCGCTGTTTGTGACATTTCCTCGCAAACTTGTACCGATGGGCCTGTTTACAAAGCTTCAAGTGAAGTTGATTTCTGAGTGGGAAAAGCGCTTCCCCAAACATCAAGTCACGCCTATCTTCTACTGCAACTACTCCTTGCTTCCGCTTATGATAGACGGCTGCGTGTATGATGTTTGTTTAATCGACCTTCACGAGTTCATTAAGGTTGCCGTTTTTCCAAAACGAGATGGCAACCATTCCAAGTTTGCCAGTCATCTCCTAGCCACCTTGAAAAAGTGCTTGGACGACCTTAAATCTCCAGATCAACTATTATTCAGCATGACCAGCTATGACTTCGAAGTGAAATGTACCTGCTGCTTTGGTAAGGAAGAAAGGAAATGTTCTCGTCATCATGAGATCCAGTGTCTTCCAGACCGTTGTGGGCACCGCCACTTCTGGAAGCTTAGTGACCTTCAGAGATTCTACAACGATCAATCCCCTGCAATTTGCCAGTCGAACAAACACTCGTCCGAGACGTTTGACATAAAGAGTGTAATAATTTGGCTCAATACTGGTAAGTGGCTAATGCTAAAGGCGTTTTTACTTTGCCAATTTTGAAATGTTTATTTGACATTTTTTAATCGTTTTTATCAGGGGCGGATCTAGGGGTCGTCAAGTCAGTCGCGCGACTGAAGTAAAAATTGCCTACTTAATTAAAAAAATTCGACTCCAGCTATCTATAGCGGCCAGTAGATCGAGTTATTAAAATTTTGAATCGTAGTCCAGTTATACGTTTCATGCTGCGGCAGAGCTTCGGCAAAGTAATGTTAGTCAGTCACGAACAGCGGTCTTACGCATGAATGTTGACGGATTCGGGGGTTGAATCCGGCTATCTGATTGGCTGACGCGCTCATTTCCATGGTTACAGCCATTTGCGACGGATCTGTGGGGAGGCCTGACGGATTTGCAGATTCAGGGGCTTTGTATGAGTCTTCTGATTGAACCATTTAAAAATATTCTGCACTGTCATTGGCTTATATTTTCGACGGATTCGCAGCGTGGGGTATTCGTCAACACGGCATTTGGTGTTTATACCTCCTGAATGTTTACTATTTCGAACGTCTGGCATGTGAGAAATTTTACTATTATATTTTTACGAGCGATCTCTGCCAGCGATATCTGGAAACATTTTCGACAATATTCAGTTAGCGATTGCGGCAAACGATTTAGAATCTCTACAACGTTTGTATACGGAGCTTGGGAAGAATATCGATGCTTCACGGACAAATTCTGTTGACGAGCTACTGAACGGCGAAGTGAGCGCCATCAACAATACAAGCAGAAGCTAGCCTCGCTAGAAATTTTGGCGCAGAGAGCTACATTCCGAAGTATGTTCGAGATAAGAAAGACAAAGCTTGCACTGCAATAAGGTGGAGAAATTTATGGTTTTATAATGATGTATCTTTAGTTTATATTAATTAAACCGAAGAACCAAAGCCGTCGGTGTTGTTAATGATTGTTAGTATTGTTTGACATATGACATTTTAATATTCGCTATGCTGTATTAGCATAATTCTCGCGTCAAAAAGCTAAAATACGTTTTATTCAATGTCCACATTGTAAGCATTTGTTGATTCTCGTGTTTATAGTGAAGTTTTATTTAAGATTTATTTATATTTATGCATCGATCACACAACATGTCGGCCTTATAGAATACTGTTTGTCCATAGCCTATCGAGGTCTATCGACACGTCTTGTTAGACCGCATTGGTCTGTTGTAACATGATGATGTGAAATATTTAATAAGCTAGCTTGAAAAGCTCATTGACTGGTAGCCATTCTCATGTAACTAGTTTATTAATATTTGACATAACATCTTTATATCTTGTTAATGTAATAGTGTTTGACTTAGTTAATGAATATCTGGTTGTTTTTTGGGATCTGAGGCTACTAGCAATTATTTATATAGTTAATGCATTTGCTGCCATATGATTTTACAAGTTTTACAATGATACACTTATAGGTATATAGTATCAATATGACGACGATTGATTAATCCACAGGCAAACATGTTATTAAATTGCTGCTGAGTTTTAATGTACTATATCATAGTAATATATCCATAAAATTTTGTATTGGAATAGGATAAATATATCTTTGTGCATTTGTAGTTTTTCTTACAATGGATAAGAATCAAATGTTCGTTTGAGTTTATCAATTTAAATTTAATCTAAATAAGTTTTTCACGCCCAGTCGAGACCACGCCCAGCGCTGACAACGCCTCGCGCTGACAACGCCCCGTCCGCCAAAAATGTTTGACTGAGGTACGAAAAATCCTAGATCCGCCCCTGTAAAAACTTAAACATATTTCTATTGATAGAACGTATACAGTGCATTTATAGGAAAGTTTCACTAAAGTGCAGCCGGTGATGGCGAAGCTGCCGTTATCAGAGTGAAAAATAGTCTTTTCCTTGAATTTGAAGACAAATACATTAACAGATGTACTAGTTGAATTTCTTCTGTAAATGTCAACATTCTTGTAGGTTGACCACCATCTGCTGCCGTGTAACACTGACTTATCAATTATGGTTAGAATGACATGTTAGGTTTAAACTGTACATGTTTATATATACCTTATATGATGTCCTCCAACGATTTACATTTTCTTCTGAGGAGAGCTGAACGAGGCACACCAAACATACGATGCTTAACAAGAGTGCAAAGTAATTCATCTTAATTTCACCTTTGATCCAGCGAGTGATCCAGCTCGTTCGACGTCTTGGGTTAATCTGAGGTGATCTGTAGTGATCGCGTTGTACTTATACTGACAGGCGAGGCTGCGTTACAAGCGAGACGGGTTTATTTCGTGACTGCTGAGTGTTGTTCTTGCTCCACAATGACGCGGTTGGCGACACACGGTGCTGCTGCGTGACTTTTTCAATTGTTTTCAAACTGCCCAGCATGCCTCAGCTTGAGGCGAAACAAGCAATGAGAGAGTCGCTGCCAAACTGGGGATATTAAAATCATTGAAACAAAGCTACAAGGACAGTGCTTAGTGTTTCAACCGTGCAGCTAGGATTATTAATAACTTTAAACATAGTTACGTTTTCAAAAGCTGTCTGCAAAACCTTGCCATTTTGGGACACGAGACTTTGCCAACTCATACATAGGCATGCCAAACTCGACTGAACTCAATAACTTTTAGACAAAGCCAGTGAAAAGAGAACTCGACTGTTTCGTTTCTATACACAAGGGAATTTTTCCCATTTTGGGATATGAATCATTGCAAACCACATTTCCCTATTTAAATAGTAGCTGTAGTCCAAGAATGAGAAAATACACTTATATGGCAAATATCACCTAGCGCAAGGCAATTTATTCTAATTAACTTCGCTAAATTGCCAATAAAAGATTAATTAATTTTGGAAATTGATACACTTGCGAAATACTGGTAAAATATATGAAACTTTACTGGGAAATGATGTAAACCTACGATGATGTATATAATTAGTCATAATTACCTAATTAGAAAGCACTAATTACAACCAGCAGACTTAATCCCTAATAATTTATCTGCAATTACGAATTTCTACATTCTCGTAAAATAAACATTATTTTGGTTGATAACGGCTCGTGAATATTGAATATACGTATACCCTTGACATATGACAAGAATTGAAGCCAAAGTTAGTTCAGCACATTAATTTTCTTCGTATACAGTAGCTATATATCAGCAAGTAATTCTCAAATAATAATATCCTTCATTGCAAGATGATGTAAGCAATTATCATAGACTCGAAAGTCTCGGTGCCAGTGTAGATAGCGACGATAACAAGATAGCTGTGAAATAAACTACCTCAAAATACAAGTTCTTCTCTCCACAACTATCTAATTATCATACACTCGAAGGCCTCGGTGTCAGTATAGAAAGCGACGATAACAAGATAGCTGTGAAATGAACTACCTCAAAATACAAGTTCTGCTTTTCTCCACAACTATCTAATTATCATAGACTTGAAGGCCTCGGTGTCAGTGTAGAAAGCGACGATAACAAGATAGCTGTGAAAATGAACTACCTGAAAATACAAGTTCTGCTTCTCCACAGCTATCTAATTATCGTAGACTCGAAGGTCTCGGTGTCAGTGTAGATAGCGACAATAACAAGATAGCTGTGAAATAAACTACCTCAAAATACAAGTTCTGTTTCTCTCATAGACTCCTTTGTTTGCTGTATTTGACTTATAAGTATTTGACTTATTCTCTGACCGAAATCAACTAAATGAATAGATTTTCTATTTTAATGGAACAACGCAGCAATATTCAATAATTTAAAAAATTTCCACAGAACTTGTAATCGCACATTTTCCCTGACAATAAAAGCTGATGTAACGGTGCTATGCAAACAAAGCTTATAAAATCACCGCTGGAATTTGAACTAGATCTTTCGAATTTTAGAGCAAAGACCGTCTCATGAATATTCGCCATATTTGTTTCCTTGACCATTTAAAGAAATGACGTCTTAAACGTTGCAAGCTGGTCATTTGAAAATGGTGATAAATTAAGCATACGCCTTAAGATATGTTTTTTGTAATTTCCTTGCGGTTTGGATAAATAAAATTGCTTCGCTTTGTGGAAAACACTGCAATTAAAGATTGGAATTTGAATCAATAGGCAATTCCAGCTTTTAGTTTATGCCTGCAGGGGATGATGGGAAGTAAGGTATCATATTGCTGATTATGCTGAAAAATGTCAATAAAAACTACCGAAACAACCGAAATATTTCAATATTTACAAGTATAAGCTGTCACTCCGTGTTTACACGGCCACCATTTTAATTTTTTCAGCATAATCAGCAATGTGATATGTCCCCTGCACGCATACCTGTAAACTAAAAGCTGGAATTGCCAATTCTATTTGAGTGTCAGTTTCTAGTATAGTTCTAACGACATATCACGTCAATGTTTTGCATGATCTCTATATGGTGAACTGGATCAGGGATTCCTGATATGTCCAGCCCGCGTGCCCGTATATATAGTACCACCCGCGAGTAATCCCTGGACAAGCACTCGGGAGAAATAAAAATTGTAAAGCTCAAACTTGGTTTGCAATCATTTTCTTTGTTTCGATGGTTTCTCGAAAACTTGTTTCGTTGCTGCTGAATGAGTCGCTTGAAACTTGAGATTTAGCGTGCTCTCCTGGGCCCATGGTGACTCGAACTAGAAATAAAACATAACAATATTTAAACTAACTTTATTTATACTGGATAGCTCTATCAGTTCTAAACTGTTCTCCCTAGAGGTCCAGTAAGGATCATCTCAAATTGATCCAGTGTTACTACAGGAGGAAACCTAAACTAAACTAACTTTATTTATACTGGATAGCTTTATCAATTCTAAACTGTTCTTCCTAGAGGTCCAGTAAGGATCATCTCTTATTGATCCAGTGTTACTACAGGAGGAAACCTAAACTACACTAACTTTATTTATACTGGATACCTCTATCAGTTCTAAACTGTTCTTCCTAGAGGTCCAGTAAGGATCATCTCTTATTGATCCAGTGTTACTACAGGAGGAAACCTAAACTAAACTAACTTTATTTATACTGGATAGCTCTATCAGTTCTAAACTGTTCTTCCTAGAGGTCCAGTAAGGATCATCTCTTATTGATCCAGTGTTACTACAGGAGAAACCTGCAGAACGCAGAGAAAACCCGTGGTATTCTCTGAAGCAATGTTTTCACACATGAAATTATCATAATTACCGAAGTTGTATCTTGGTCCACCAAGTGAGTATATTTGGTTCGACCAGATCTTCCAAAATTCTTGACCTGCATGACTTTGGGTAAAACTGTCTTATCAAAATGATCTTCCAACGTTGGGTTGGTGATATCACGTCTGTAAACTTGATCATCTTCATTCTGAAACACAATTATTTCATATTGTTTGTGAAAATGATCAACAATTGCTAAAATTTTCTCATGTTTGAATTTTTTTATAGTTGTAACCCTTAACCATACCCCCTGACCTTAATGGGTTAAAGTTTACCAATCCATAGTTGTACTTACGAGAAAGAATGCTCCACGATGGTAATATTTCTGCAGGAATTTGTATTTTCCTTTTGGCATCTTGTTGACAACGACTTTGGGATTATTTCTCAATTCAAATAATCTTTCTTCTTCCGTCATGTTATGAAGACGTTCTGCTTCGATCCTTTCTTTCTCCATTCTGAAATTCATTAGTTTAACAATTTAATAATTGGCTGACCTGCCAGAATACTATTAAGTTCATTGTGGAATACAGCATGGAAAAACATTTCAACAGAAAACTTACAATTCTCTCTCTTCTCGATCTCTTTTGATTCTTCAGCCCTGACTTTCCACGCCTCACTATTAAGACAGAAGACTCAATTCAACGACAGAAGACTCAATTCAACGACAGACGACTCAATTCAACGACAGAAGACTCAATTCAACGACAGAAGACTCAATTCAACGACAGAAGACTCAATTCAACGACAGAAGACTCAATTCAACGACAGAAGACTCAATTCAACGACAGAAGACTCAATTCAACGACAGAAGACTCAATTCAACGACAGAAGACTCAATTCAACGACAGAAGACTCAATTCAACGACAGAAGACTCAATTCAACGACAGACGACTCAATTCAACGACAGAAGACTCAATTCAACGACAGACGACTCAATTCAACGACAGACGACTCAATTCAACGACAGAAGACTCAATTCAACGACAGACGACTCAATTCAACGACAGAAGACTCAATTCAACGACAGACGACTCAATTCAACGACAGAAGACTCAATTCAACGACAGAAGACTCAATTCAACGACAGAAGACTCAATTCAACGACAGACGACTCAATTCAACAACAGACGACTCAATTCAACGACAGAAGACTCAATTCAACGACAGAAGACTCAATTCAACGACAGAAGACTCAATTCAACGACAGAAGACTCAATTCAACGACAGAAGACTCAATTCAACGACAGAAGACTCAATTCAACGACAGAAGACTCAATTCAACGACAGAAGACTCAATTCAACGACAGAAGACTCAATTCAACGACAGAAGACTCAATTCAACGACAGACGACTCAATTCAACGACAGACGACTCAATTCAACGACAGACGACTCAATTCAACGACAGACGACTCAATTCAACGACAGAAGACTCAATTCAACGACAGAAGACTCAATTCAACGACAGACGACTCAATTCAACGACAGAAGACTCAATTCAACGACAGAAGACTCAATTCAACGACAGAAGACTCAATTCAACGACAGAAGACTCAATTCAACGACAGACGACTCAATTCAACGACAGACGACTCAATTCAACGACAGAAGACTCAATTCAACGACACATTACTGGTAATGCAAGAAGATCTTTCAATTCAACGACACATTACTGGTAATGCAAGAAGATCTTTCAATTCAACGACACATTACTGGTAATGCAAGAAGATATTTCCAATGCCTCAAACGCGAAGAATGTTTTAAATCATTTTTTGACAAACCTCTTCCTCGTCATTTTCGTCATCAGTGATCACAACTTCTTCTTCTTTTTCAACTGAAGAAATTTAAAAAAAAATATTCAGAAATTTTCAGCATTGAAGAAAGTCCTGTATACCAGAGAAAATAAAGATGACTTAAATTACAGCTGCAACCTAAAGTCACATTAATTTTTTACAATTTTCTGAGTGTCTATTGTTTTACGTGACGTTTTACTGCAATATATTAATGGGCAAAGCGCGCCATTTATGAACGATTCTGACAATCTTTGGTCGCAGTAACATGTTACGTTGGAAATTATCGTTAAAAAATTGACATGAATAATGGCACCTTTACTCGGTCGATTGATATTATGACGTCATTATAAAATCGGCATGGGGCAGATGGTGGCATTAACAATCAATCATTTCCGATGGTTGGACAATCAGTCAATGACTAGTGTGAGTATGACTCCTAGATTCATAACTTCCAAGCCAATGGTGTTGTACTCATTGTATGAAGGTCCCCAGTGTTGAAATAGGCCGTGGGCCGTCTCACCTTTCTGATGATGCAAATCATTTTTGTTGTAATTGAATACAAAATTTCACATTTGTAATCTTGCTGTAATACAATTTAATAGAGGATAATCACTGATCACCCATTTTCTCGGTGTTTGGCAAGTTTTTTGCTTGGGACCTTTTTGTGGTAATTGAGCATCTATGGTACTATGCATTGAACCACAGAAAATCTATTCCCCAGGGGGTTGCCACAAAGCGAAATAATTTTGACCAACAGCCTAAAACTAAGCAATCTATGATAAATATTAACATTTACCTCCTTGTTCAGCTTGTAGTTCTTTGTGAATGATCTCTTCAACCAACTGAAATATAAACAACAGGAAAAGTTAACCCACTGAGTGGCAGAACTCTCCACATGTGTCTGGCATTAGACAGTAAAAAAATGACGTAGGACACATCGCCACTTCACTGGGACTTCAAAATTATCCAAATCAATTCAACCTTTCTCGAAGTCCTCCGTCTGTCTTCCATTAATTTCTTTTTCTTTTCTTCCTCTTTTTCTTCATCGAGCGTCATCTTATCTCGTTCTTGAATTGTCACTCTGTCTGATCTATATTTTTACACGAGAACAGATGGAATTGATATAGCATAGTGAATGGTCAAAACATCTTATCTCGTTCTTGAATTGTCACTCTGTCTGATCTATATTTTGACAGTTGGAATTGCACAGGGATTGATCAAAACAAGAAACGAGAATTCAAAATACAAGACAATCACTTACTTTCTAACAAAGACAGGTTTAAGTCGAGCTCCGAATTCCTCTTCAGAATCTGAATACTCTTCATATTCTGATGACTGCAGGAGAAATGAAAAATTGGTTGTTAACCAGACCGTAACGGTCAAATCAAGATTTTTAAAAATATTTCTCTGGTTATGTCAATTGCATGATACAATAAATTCAGGTTCCCGACCGACCCTATTTTTTTCTGTCGACCCTATTATTTTTTAAACGCGATTGTGCAACCCTATTTTCTCTGGGTGGTTGCAGGCTGCTGTCAAAATGGCATCTGCTGTCACACTAATTATTGAAAAAACCATGAAAAAATATTTAAAAAACAACATATTTCCGACCTACCGACCCTAATTTTTTCGCGATATGAAACCCGGACCAACAGGTATTTTTTTACGCCTTACCTCGTCTTCTTCCTCCAGTTCTTGGTCAGACTTTGGTTCTTCTTCAAGATCCAACAAATCCTGAACAAAATAACATTACATTAATTAGTCTTTATATTTAGTTTTTTACTTTTTATTATTAGTCTATGGACTGTGCAAACTCTGAAAAACATTCATTGAAATCATTTATTTATTAGCTTCACATATAATTAAAATTTTATACAACTAGGCCAAATAAAAAAAATATGTGGGTTTCCGGTTTCCCGACCCTACCTAGCTTTTGGACGTAGAAATCCCGACCCTAAACTTTTTTATTGGATCATGCTTGTAAGTGTTTCCACTTAGAGCAAGACGTTTGTGGAAAATGAAAATTTGAGGCAATATTAGGGAAATTTATGTTTGGATGTGGAAGCACTGACTAAACAAAATGGGGTCCGGTTTAGGGGTGCACCGGATTTCAAATCCGGCCGGAATTCTGGCCGGATTTAACCAATTTTCCGGCATCCGGCTTCCGGCCGGATTTGGAGAAAATCCGGCCGGATTTAAATTTCTGTTTTCACCATAAAAAATTCACCAAGAATGGGATAAACCATCAATTTGGCAGCTTTAAAGTTTAAAAAACCACTTATATTATTATAAAATATTAAGTTATTAACAAAAAGATGTTTAAAAAAGGTTTAAACACAATCAAAAATCTAAACTGACACTAACTAAAAATAGTAAAAAACATAAACCATCATTTTGAATACTGATTTATCCCCAATTGTCCCCATTACTGGTTTATCTCAAATCCGGCAAATCCGGCCGGATTCCGGCCGGAATTTTTGTCCAAATCCAGTTCCGGCTGGATTTGAAAATTCCAAATCCGGTGCACCCCTAGTCCGGTTGTTAGGAAAATTAAAAAAAAAGTTTAAAAAAAAAAGTTAAAACCGACCTACCCTACCTAAGTTTTTACAAGAGGAAACCGGAAACCCACATATTTTTTTTTTTGCCCTATAACACAAACTTTGGTGTATGGAAACACCATTTTTATTTATATAGTAGGACTGGATCTTCACTGGTCAGAGCTAACCATTCATTTTGAGATAAAATATTCTTACTGTATCTGCTTCTTTCTGCACCATTCGTTGTTTGAGAAGAGCTCTTCTTCTGTCAAATTCCTACAATGTGAAAAACAACTATGAGTAAATGTGGAAAAATGAAATAGAGAAGCTTTAGTGAACATTTTCATCTTCAAACAGACTGAAACAGCCATGAAATTGGAGCAGCATTCTTTAAAATTCGTATTTAATTATCGTCGAGCTGACTTTGATGGTCTACGAGCACATCTTCAATCACTTAACCTCAAGGAGAAAATATCTGATCATGGCGATATTAGTAAAGATTGGTCGGAATGGAAAGATTCGTTTCTTGCGGCGGTGAAGCAGTTTGTTCCAACTGCAAATTTAAAAGGTCGAAAGTCTCTTCCTTGGATGAATAGTACAATTCTTCATTTAATTAAGAAGAAAAACTCGTTGAGAATGAAAATCAAAAGATCTAGTTCACCAAGTGACTACCTAAGAGATCAATTTAAAAGCCTCCGCTCCACCATCAAGCGAATGTTGCGTGACAGTCGACTTGAATACATGAACAAAATCTGCGCCAATCGTGATCACAACCCAAAACGCTTTTGGTCCTTTTTTAAGACGAGGTCAAAAGTTTCCAACATTCCAGGAAAAGTTTCCACGAAAGTCAATGACAGTGAAAGAAAGCACGCGAACAGTAACACCGATATAGCGA